CGTAGTTATTTATTGTGTGTTAGTCGAGCAAACGAGTCGAAAGACGATTCCTTTCGATTTTCGTAATTACGACCTGTGTGTGTTCCTTTCGTCGCGAGCTGGCGAGATATTACAAAATTTATTGTTGAGTAGCTTACAATGGTAAAACGTTACATCGTTAATTTAGTAGCTTATTGCCCGTGCGTGGCAGTTTGTTTCATTGAACTTTGAACTTCGATCTTGCTGTTCGATCTCATTTAGATTCGCTTTCTTTAAACATCTTTCCGTAAGTTCGAAACGAAACGAAGGAAAACATTTCAACGATAGGTTACATTACACGATTTATTCTAATCTAACTATAAAGAAAGATTAAAAAAAAAAAAAAAGTATGCAGATCTTTTCTTAACGAGCGAATACAATTCATTTTACGGCCTTGAGGCGACGTTATCTTTATCGTTAGCAATAATGTATCTCTATCGTCTAATGAATTATTTATATCGTACAAGTCTCGAGGTGAAACTCAGGGAAAAATGGAGCTGTTGGTCGCCGTTTAATACGCGGACAGTAATAGGTCAGCGCATCGTTTTCTTTTTTTCTTTCACAAGGCAATATACTCTCACAAACGATATGGTAAAATCATCCTTCGGTTTATTGGTTTATCGGTAAAATGTAGCAAAAATCAGTAGCGTTAAATGGTAGTAAATAATACTATTCGTAATATGTCAAGGTAGTCGTTACTAAAGTATTATCATCCTCTTCGCATCCTTTGCGTACGTATATTACTTATATACGCAGTATTATTACCGTATCTATGTATACATTATATGATTCTTCCAAATGAAATGAGTATTATTGTACAGATCAGAAATTTCGTATGCTTGTCGATGTGCATACAACTTGCGCATCCGTGTTTTTCGATGACGTACAACATTAACCCTTTATTTGATCAGGTTCGCGTATTCAAGTAGCAGTCTTCTCGTTGGCTTATCTTTCTCGTTGCTTTCCTTCGTTACGCTTATTACTAACGCGTAGCACTAACTCGTCGGATTTTTCTATCTGTCAAATAAAGGATTAAACGTAGATATTTATCATCGTTTCTTGAACCGTTTCAACAACCGTTTCCAATGACTCGTTCGCGCGTTCACTGGTTTCCGGCCGGCCCTTGCAACCCTCCCCTTCAAACGAATTCACATTTCAAGGGCACATTACACACGCGCGGCCGAGAACGAAATATTGCACTAATCTAAAACCATTCGCCGAAAGATTTCCTGCTGTTAAACCTAATGTTCCAATGGATCGTCCGTTGTTTCTCTGGGATCTCTGCCGGCCGCAATTTTCAACGTCACTCGCCCAATTTCTGTCCAGTGGCGCGTTCGGAAGTGGTGAACGCGCGAACGAGACGATTTTCACAAGCCGACAGAGGACAACAACGTCAGCGATGTTTGTACAGCATGGCTGAGGAGAACGGGCGCGATGGTCGGATGACTCGTTTTGTGTGCTTTTATCGATCATTTTTCTACTCTGGTGTATATGCCATCCGCCTACGTCAACGCGATTCCAGCTACGCTCTAACTAATATTAATTAGGGCTACGATACTATATGTACAGAGAACGCATTGCATTGGCACAGCAAACATGCGTGCCTGGACTGCCATCCATCGTTTCGACGCATAGCGTGTAGTACGCTCAGTGTATGTGTGTACTCACTTAGGTACTCATTCGTCATGCTCTCGTATCTCTTATCATAGCGAAATAATCGTGGCGTATAAATTGCAGATCTCCTCCTCGTCTCTATCTAATAACGATTTCTTCTCGATTTTCTATTCCATTAGATCCTATTCGATTTCACTTTATTCTTTCCTTTTTTTTTTTTTTT